GGGAAGAAAAAGACCAAAAAGTACTGAAATTAAAACAGAACAAACAAACAAAAAAACCTCCCAACCTAGAATACTATACTCAATGAAAATATCCTTCAAAACTTAAGATGAAATAAAGCTGTCTTGGAAGCACAATATTGCAGGAAGAAATTAAGAGTACCTGAAAGGGCAAATATGTAGGCAATATAAAAAAAAATGGTTTGTTAAAACAATAATAATAATGTTTTCTGTGTTTAATGTTCCATGTATGTGGAAGTAAAGTATATAACAACAATAGCACAAAAGGCAGGTGGGAGGTAACATTAAACTGTTACAAGGTTCTTGCATTGTTCAGGAAGCAATAAAAGTACTAATTTAAGGTAAATTATAGTAAGTCAAGGATGCAGAGAACAAATGAGACAAATTGAAAACAAATAGCAAAATGGTAGACTTAAACCCAACTATGTCAGTAAAAATATGAAATGTAAATGGATTAAACACTCCAGTTGAAGGTCAGTGATTGTTGAATTGTACATGTAGAAATTGTTGTAATGGTGTATGTCTTGTTATGTATATTTTCACCACAACAAATTTTTTTTTTAAAGTCAGTGATTGTCAAACTGAATAGAAAACAACATCAAGGCGAAAGTGTTGTTACTAGAATGATAGAGGAAATGGTATAATGTTAAAAGGGTCAGTTCAGCTGAAAGATACAATTACCTTAAATTTGTATGTACCTAATAACATAGCTTCAAAGTATTTAAAGCAAAAATTAAGAGAACTAAAAGAAAAGAGACAAACCCACTTTCATTGTTGGAGGTGTTAACATACCTCTCTCAGTAGCTGATAGAACAAGCCTATAACAAATCACAAAGAATGTTAATCATTTGTACCACATGATTAATCACCTTTACCTACTTGGCATATATGGAGCACTACACCCAACAACTGCAAAATGCACTTTCTCTTCAAGTGCACATAGAACATGTTGTTATTGTTGTTAGTTGCCAATGAGTTGATTCTGACTCATGGCAACCCCATGTATGGGGAGAGTAGAACTGCTTCGTAGGGTTTTCAAAGCTGTGACCTTTTGGAAGCAGATGGCCAGGCCTTTCTTCCGAGGCACCTCTGAAGGGATTTGAACCAGCAATCTTCGACTAGTAATCAAGCACTTTACTGTGCCATCCAGGGACTCTGCACATGGAAAATAAAATATTATAAATCTGGAAACAGAAACTGCAGACTGTTTTGTTGTTTATTTTTTATTTGAACTATATCTGAGACTAGGAAACACAGGGAAGACCCTCACAGTTCCTTCCTGGGAATACCTTGCTGAATAGAAAACACAAGAATGATACTGTAATTTGCTAGTTTATTCTTCTTCAACACAGAAGCAGTTTACAGCCAGAGATAGTCTGCCTCTGTCTCTTTTAACATGCATGAAATTTCCAGATAATAGTCTGTGGCTGGGTGTAACAAACTTGGCTGATCATAAGAATTACTTGGAAATTTCTTTAAACAGATTCTTAAATCTCACCTCTTGGAGATCTTTATTTTGAAAAGGCAGCTGACCTGATTGTGAGTATTAAACAGATTTGAGAGTGACTGAATAATGTTCTATTTCCTAACAGATGCGTATATGCATGCATGTGCATATGTTATGAAGGGGAGTGGAGAGAGAATGTAAATGAATGAATTTGGGATGATAACTGGGGCAGGGCTGGGCATAGCTGTATCACACTGCATGAGGCAAGAGGCATATGCATTTCTAAAGGTTTCGTAAACATGAAAATTAAGCATGTTTGCATGGAGCAGCAAAGAAAACAACTGTTCTTGCTTCTTGTATTCAGTGACTGGAGTTTTCTACATAAAGAAGAGGGTTATTCTAAGCAATAGATGTGGCTATGGACACATTAATTAGTATCATAAACTGTTGACATTTTCTGTGTAACACTTTTAAAACAAATCTGTTTTGAGTTCATATGCTGGCAGACAAATATGTTTGAAAAATATGGTATAGTTGTTTTGAATCTGTAAGAGAAAGGTGACACATAAATGAGAAATACTATTCAAGTTTAACTATAATGAAGGATTAAAAGAGGTGAACTCAGTCCTCCTTTAAAATTGATCAGATATCCCAGAAGATACGTGGAAATGGGCTGGATCGACTGTATTTCATTTAAGGACTTTACAGACAGGAACTTCTATGTGAATATGTTATCTTCTAACATTTCTAAAGCTTATTGGTCATTTTTCTTTGGAAAAGTATAACATAGCACTAATAACCTCTTCTTTCATATTGTTTGTATTTTTTTTAGTTTGGATATGATCTTCCCTAATTCTTTTAACCAAACAGGCATTTTTCTGTGTTTCTTTTGGAACTGAGTGAAATTCACCCAGTGGTAGGTTAGCAGCAGATTTAAAGTTTCAGTCCCTCCTTGCCTCTACAAGTAAGCCTACTATTTGAGAATGAACAGCTTATGTTGTATAGCTCAGTTTCTAAGATTATCTATGTCTTTGAAAGCATTAACATGTTAAATACTATAAATGTTCAGAAATATCATCAGTTCTTAATGACATTTCATAATCAGGAGAATACTGTCTTAATTAAAGCACTGACTCTTAAAAGCAATGGTGTGTGTTCACCCTAGTGCTATTCTTGAGGTTGGTCCCAGGGTACCATTGAGGGAAATTGTTATGACAGGGGTTTTTCTAATGTCTCTGGCAAGTAAACATTTTTAAATATGGTCCAATGTTATAATCAGATTCTAGAGTTTTTCATTTAAAGAAACAAAATAGTTGAGACCCAGGTATGCCTTCAAGTAAGTGGTACAATTGGGATGAAAAGGGTCACCTTCATCTGTCTCTTCAACGTGTTCTACTTTAGTAACCAGGACCCTATTTTGCCTAAGTCTTCTGGGCACAGCAAACTAATGCATTAGCCGTCATTGCTGCAGTCACTCTGATCATTACAATTGTGTAAATCTGACTATCATCAGACTTCCCTAGACTCCTGTCTAAAAAGAGATTGAATTTGGTAACTTTTGAAAAAATATCAGTGCTTGTCAATTGTGTATTTTCTCTTATGAAAAATATCTACACTATTAAAAGAAGAGATTGTTTAGTGCATGTATTTTGCCCCTTTCACTTCTCCACAAAAGTGTTATTTGCTTCAGCTGTGAAAATTTTTACAGTAAATATGTAAACTTATCACATACTGTAACATAGTGTATGTTTCTTGATGTATTTCTATAAAATAGAGGTCCCACTTTAATTCCGGGACTGTTACTCCACTTGACTCTTTTTTTCTTCCCCTCTAGACTTCTCCAGAAAACCCTGGGACAGTAGGTGGAGTGCAAAACTGTATTGTGTTGCCTTCCTGCTTTTTTTGTTGCCTTCCTGCTTTTTTTTTTTTTTTTTTAATTCTTGGCCCAGCCTTGGCTGCTCCTTTCTCTGCCATTAAAGCTAACTAAGCCCCGCATGTGTGGTCATAATGAGAGGCTCATGGCCTTTCATTTCAATCCTGCAAATTTATTGTGTCAGCTATATTTTTTTGGTCACATCCATAAAATCAGTATTATCTCTAATGCAGTACTGTAATTCGCAAACTTTGGAATTGCACCTCTATAGTCATGCCGCACCACAAAAGATCCATTGGGGCAGTATCCCGCCGCCTATACGTCTGTGGTCCCATAAAGGTCTTTTTTTTTTAAGGGAAAACAGCTCTGCTTTTGTTTATTATTTCCTCTTAATGTTTTAAAGACCCTAAAACCCCAGAGTGAACGAGGAGCGAGGCTCCAGGGTTCATCCCAAACCCCGCAATGCCTCCTCCTCCTCCTCCTTTCCCTCTTCCTGGCTTAATTTACTGGCCCAGTAGTGGTGGAGCCTTTCACTCCTTTCACTCCTGACGTGGAGGTTCCTCCACTCCTGCCTCAGGCGCTGGCGGGGACACAGTGGCGACTACACATGATTAAGGAGCGGGCAGCAGCAACAGGGTTGCGGCATCCAGGACCACCACGGCCAGCTGCGCCCCCGGCCATCCGCACACCCATTCCTCCACGGCCGCTTCTCCACACGCCACTTGCAAAGTCCCAATCTGGCTGCCAGCGCAGCCCCCTCCCACCCCACCCGCACACCCGGCAAGGCTGGCTTCCTGTATCCAGTGGTACAGCTTTCGGACTTTGTCCGGCGAGTCCCATAAGGTTTTAATACAGTAGGCTTTATAGGGATTTAACTATGGATTGCACAAGGGCTGCCGGTATATAATATGGTGTTCGAACAATGTCCAAATTGTATACCGTCCTATTTCACAAAACTTACTGTGGATGTAAAACGATGCATACCTGTACTTTCTGTAAAAATATCTCTCCATTTTAAAACACTCCAACCTCCTACCTAAGTATATTCCAGTGCTCCAAAACTACCTAGGGTCCTTTTCGTGAAGGAATAAAATAATCTAATAAACAGATACAAGTAAGGTGTTAACACTTAATATGCTACCCCTCCCTGAACTGTTTATATCTTGAAAGAAGAGGATAGGGAGAGGGTACTGTTTAACAGCGGGTAATGACTCACTCAGGAATGGTAGAATTCTCTGCTTCAGTGACACAGGAGATGGGAGGAACTGGGCCTTTCCCCATACCAAGAGGATAAGAATGATGACAGTAATAGGCTGCACTGAGGTAAGATCTCATGCATGTTAGGAAGAGACCCACTTTTGGGGGTGGGGAGGGGTGCCTTTAAAAGATTTTGAGAGAGTTCTAGTCATCTCCGTGAATTTTTATTCCAAAATTTTATCAGTTTAGTTTGGTTCCTTTTCTTCCTTAGTACTGTATCTGTTAGGGTTATCGATGCTTGGTGTCCGTGTGATGTCAAGGAGTCTGACTGTCTGCATGATTGTTTATCATTGCTCTGATCCTTTCCAACCACCACAGGAAGAAAGGGGAAGGGACATTTTAGAGATGTTGCTGAAATAATAAATTGGCTCTTCTCTTCCCTTTCTGCTTCTCACCATGCAACAGAAGAAGCAGGCCAGTCCACTGCAGACCCAAGCATGATCATGGACAGTGTGGAAGCAGGAGACACAACACCTCCCACCAAAAGGAAGAGCAAGTTCTCAGGCTTTGGCAAGATCTTCAAACCCTGGAAGTGGCGGAAAAAAAAAAGCAGTGATAAATTTAAAGAGACATCAGAAGGTAACATACTAAGATTTAAATATGTTGAAGAGTTCCCTATTTAAGTACCTAACTTTTTCATTCTTCTCCCAAACTTCTGTAACCCCTATTTGAAGAGGGAATTAATCTTTTAGAATTGAACAATCAAATGGTCGTTCACTGAGCCTTGTATAGTGTAGCCTCATTCCCAGGTTGATGTTTTGATGGGATTGAAGTTTATCTATGGAGTGGTGGATAGAGTTCCTGATTAAATTGTAGCAAATCAAAGATGGACTTTTTTCTTTCTACTCTGCCCACATCCCACCCACACACAGTTCATTCATAAATACCTTATTATTGAGATTTAAATTAAAAAGAAAAAAGCTTATAATTATACAATGATAGTCCCTTTTGGAAATAATACTTGAAAGAAATTGTGTTTTTAAATTTAAAATTAGTTTCCCTGTTCTTTTCTGTCCTAAGAATAGAAGTTTGAACCACTTCATTCTTTTACCTGTGGAGTTAGAATGTTAAGAGTAAAGTTGACCTTTAACTGTCACATTTCTGAGTTCTGTTTTCCAACTTAATGTTAGTTTTAGAGCGAAAGATATCTATGCGAAAACCAAGAGAAGAGCTGATTAAAAGAGGAGTTCTGGTGGAAGACCCTGAGCAGGGTGAGTTTGCAAATGTTTAGCATAATTAATTCTGATGAGGTGTTCATATCTTCTTTCTTTTTTTCTCTTTTTTAAACTGCTATTCACCCTTCCCTCCAAGTGTCCACATTATCTGGCTCTGGTCTTCTGGGGCAAACATCCCTGTCTCTGTCCATCCTTAGCTTCACGAGGGCTGCAGCACTGTGTGTCATTTCCCTTTTTAAAAAAAAAATTGTATCCATATTGCTGCCATAATCTTTTATTTGTCTATCATAAAGGTGAAGGTCATGTTTTGCTATTTCAACCCTCATTGCTGGTTTAATATTGCCAGGACTTTCTCCACTGTATGATTTGTATGAAGCAGCTTATCATAAAAGTTAAGACATCTACATTTCATTTCTCTTCATTCTCTTTTGGAGGGTGGGCAAAAGGAACCAAACAAATGGAATGATACTTTTTGGGTTTTTAGCCAAGTGAACGCATTGCCTGTTCACAAAATTAAATAGTACACTGAAGATTTGATATCTCCACTATATTAAAACTAAGCAGAGAAAAAAAGCTTGAAAGAAAGATACTAAAATGTTATTAGCATTGGTTACCTCTAGAGGTTGGATGGGAACATGGCTGGGGGGTTTCTATTTTTCTGAACTTACTACATGATTAGTAATGAGCATGTTTAACTTGTGTTTTTGTGTAACTTTTTAATGGGCAAAATATACATTATATATGAGGTAAACTTCATAAATGTCAAAAAGAGGTAAAAAATACCCTTTTTCAGGATATAAAGTGATGAAAAGTTTCAGTTGTTCCAGTGTTTCTCTCTCAAGGCAAAATTCTTTTAATGTAGATTGTAATTGTTTCTTTAATATCATCAAATATTCATGACTCTTTTTTACAATAGGACATAAAATCTAGGTATCTTGGTGGGTTAACCACAATTTTAATGCCCCCATTGCAGCACTTTTGGCTTTTGCTTTTGTGTGTGTGTGTGTGTTGAAATATATGAAACAAAACATTTCAACCATTAGCCTTGCTTTTTTGATGTAGCCATTCCTGTCTCCATGCTCTCTCTTGTCTCTCACCTTTCATGCTTATTGTCACAAACCCTACATATTACTACTTTCTTATTTTTCGCCTTTGTTCAGTCTCTTTTGCCCTGCTTTTATCCAAGTTGTTTTTAACCTGCAAAATTCAAAGCCTCAATTGATAAATGAACTGCAGCCATTGGACGAGATGCCACTCTGGCAACCAAAGAATCAACCTAAATTTTATTCTACATCAAGGGATGGGCCTTGGGAGCCTGGCTTATATATCTCCAGTTTAGTAGTGTTTGGTTCCTGTTCATCCTCAGAGATGGCATTTGGCTTGATTATGGTTCTAACTTGACTATGCTATAAAATATTTAATGGATTTTCTGAGATGTTTGGGGGCGTTCATAGATATTGAAGCCAGATACTACTTCTACTCCACCGTTGGCATTGGAGAAACTGTTTGCGTTAGAGTTTGCATTAACAATGATTCTTCAAAGTAGACATTCTTGAGTAAGTAACCTGAGTTATAACTGATCACTTTTGCATATGTTCTACCGGTGCGTATTGAGTAGAAACTAATTAATAATGTGTCTTAAATTATCACTGTTTGGTTAACATACAATAACTTACTACTCTTGTGTAATTGTCATCTTGCCCCTCCCCTTTTTTAAAATAAGAGAGTAGTTGTCAGAGAATACTTTAGCTTTAGAAGTACATTTTCACTTAGTGCTTTTTTATCTTAGACAATACTACTTGTAGCCTGAGCTCCACCTCTTACTGAGACTGCATAAAGAATGATACTGTCTAATCTCCTAGTAAGGAGCCCTGGTGGCACAAACTTTGAAGCACTTGGCTGCTAATAGAAAACTCAGCAATTCGAACCCACCAGCAACTCCGTGGGAGAAAAGACCTGGCAATCTGCTCCTGTAAAGGTTACATCCTAGGAAACTGTGGGGCAGTTCTCCTTTGTCCTATAGGATCGCTGAGTCAGAATTGACTTGACAACACATAACAACAACAATCTCCTAGTAGGAAGAAGAAAAGCATTTGGGTAAAGAGGTTTATGGTGGATTGGAATAAGGGGGCTGGTCTATGAGAACTTCAGGAACTACCTCAGGGGACACCAAAATGATATTACCCAAAGTGTCTCACTATGGAAAGTAAAGAATGACACCATTTAGAGAGCAAGCCAGTTCTGGTTCCTATGACACTGGGAAGTGAGACAGAATTTTTTGTCTCTAGCCTCAGTTTTTCAGTTCTGTCCTCCAAAAGAGTCTAGGAAACCTCAGCAGTAACTGGAAAAGTTTGTCTAGTTGCTCCATGAAGGAATGTCACCTACAGTTTTCATGGTCATAGGTGATCAGTACAGGTTACCACAAAGCCTCCAACCCAGTGATTACCCCTGCAGTTTAGTGTGTAGGGAGGGATTCATGATGTATATATATCATGTTTACCTCCTATCTATCAGTTCTGCCCCTTCTTCTCCACTCCTACTGCTCTTGGTCAGCCTCTGCTATTTCCCGCCTAGATTCTAAAAGTAGCTTATTATTGGTTTTCCTACTCCAATCTCTGCCCCTCTATAATCCATCCTCCTCCCTCTTCTCAGGGTTAACCTTTCTAAAAGACAAATCAGATCATGTCTCTCTCCTACTTCTAAATCTTAGATGGCTTCCTGTCACCTGCAGGATTCAGTCCAGGCTCCTTAACATGGTGTTTGGTATCCTTTATAGCCTGGCCTCTTGCCTGCCTTTCCATACCCATCCATACCATTTATTATGTGCTCCCTATTCTCCTGCTGGAATAAACTAGTTACCAACTCCCAAATATGTCAAGTAATTTCACACTTTACATATGCCATTCCTTCTTCCTAGACTGTCTTTCCTCATCTTGTCTTCAATGTGATGGACTCCTACTCATCATTCAAGACCCAGTTTAGATACCATTTCCTATGAAGCTTTTCTTACCCCTCTCTCATCCCCAGGAGAATTGCTTCTATTCTTACCACAATACTCCACACATTATATCATATTTTTTATAGACATTCAGCATTATAATTACTTGTGTACTATAAATCTATTTTACTCATCTAGGTATCTTAACCCCTGGCACATAATAGGCAATCAAATATTTATTGGAAAGAGAATTACTGTATTATAAGAATCCAAATAATCTAGATGTAAATAATAAGCTAGTATCAGGAAGGAGGTGAAGGGAATGAAAGAAGTTAGAAATCACCAGCTTTTCTCCCTGTATAATCATACCAGTTCCTTTCATTTATTCTTTTATTTTGGGCCTTGCAGGTGACGAGGATCCAGGGAAGTTGAGCCATGCCATGTTAAAGAATGGCCATACCACCCCCATTGGGGGTGCCAGATCTGCTAGTCCAGACCAAGTGGAGGAAGAGCCAGGAAGAATAGCAAGTCTCAGGAAACTTGTTCCAGAAGAGAACCCGAAGAAGCAACTAGGTAAGAAACTCTGGATTTTGAGTTTAAGAGCAATGGAGCAATCACTCTAATTTACCTGAGGGGTTTGCAAGAGAGCGGGGAGAAATAAAATTAGAGGGAATTCTGTTCTCTGCTAGCAGTTCCTCAACTAGTTGCAACTTTTAGTAGAATTTTACCCTTCCTCATTCTCTCATTCACAAAATACCTGAATTTGTGATTCTCAAGGAAGGAAGAGGATGTCAAATATCAGATACGTATAGGACTTTTTCAAAGTACGCATACCTCTTCCTTTACTTAAGGGATTCTAATGTACCTCCTCAGTAGACTCTTATATGAAGAACCCATACTACAGTGAGCCTCTTACTGATTGGAAAAGTGTCAGATTCTAAAAGTACATTGAGGTTGGAAAACATCAGGGACTGTTGCCTGTAAACTAATACATAAATTGAATAATTGGTGAAGCTGAAGATAAATCTGTAGATGAGCTAGCTTCTTCAGTCTCTTTGATTTTTCCCTCTTCCTTTTTAAATCATATGTTATTATACAGGCTCAACTGGAAGCCAGCCTAATTCTGAAGCAGACTCTGTTCCTGAGAATGCACCCAAGCTTCCCCCAAAACGACCCTTGTCCTCTTCTTACGAAGCACGTGAAGGGCAAACAAAGGATGCCACTTCCTCCGTCAGCACTACAAGGTCCATCTCCTCCACCTCTGCCTCCACCACCACAGTGCCTGCTGCCACCACTGCTGCCACAAACCCAGCAAAGACTGTTAGTTCCTCTGCCACCCCTTTGCCAGCACCCAGGACTCTGCCTGTTGCTCCTGCCAGCACTAACACTACTGCTACCCCGAGCCTGACTCATACGGTCCCTGCCAAGCAGCCCCCTGTCCCTCCCCCTAAACCAGCTCAAAGAAATAGCAACCCTGTCATTGGTGAGTCTTCAGGCTTCTGTTGTTTTGTGTTGTGTTTTGGATGGTTATTTTATTGGATAACTAGTACAATATTGATTTGATCTATAAGAGAGTTCTCCATATCTCATCCCTTTGAATGCCCTCAATACGGGGAAAGGTTTTGAAAATGAGGCACATGGCTATGAATGGAAACAGGCTGCAATCAGATGTCACTAAAAATTATGTACAAGTTTGCGGGGTTTAATATCTATTTTCCTATAACAGTGTTTCTGAAACACTCTATATAGTTGGAGGACTGGATATGTTAAGACCACAGCATATTTGACCTGCATGGAATTATCTGTGCCACGTGCTAAAAAACTTAGAAAAGGGGCAAGGCAAACTCTTCAAATGATAGGTTTTTTTTAACCCTCTTTAAACTACCAGTGCCTTCCTTCAGCATAAGTGAGTCAAGTAGATTAAAAAAAATATTATTATATAGATAACAGTGTAACTTTCTGGTTCAGTGTCTAGCATAGTATCTTTATGGTGAACTGCAGATGATATGATTTAAATTGCCCTGATGAAATCATGTTTTATCTTGGGAGAGTTAAGGATGCTACTCTCAATAAAATAAGTGGTGGAAGAGAGAAAGCAAGGGAGGTAGTAAATTTGTTTGGTTTAGTGAATTTTTGTATTTATCTGTAAGTCCTATTTAGGTCTATATTCTTCAGATACATGCATACCTTCTGAGGTACATTTTCAAGGAAAGAAGGGAGGGTGGACTAATGAGTGCTTCAGAGCTAATGAAAGTAGCCAATATATAATGTAGTTTTTCAGGAAAAACAATACTAGTACTACTTAAAGTTCTTGTTAATAATTGAATGGAGGAATAAAAAAAAAAAGGCTTGTTGAATGGCGAATACCACCAAGTTGGGTGGGATGACTAGAACCTTGAAAAACAGGCTTAGAATTCGTTATGAGTATGACAGGTTGGAGTAGTTTAATAAAAACAGAAAGAAAATTATTACTATCATCACTATCTTGGATGTATAGTGCCAGATTGACTTATCTCTGAGGAACTTGAGGAGCTTTCACATACTTATTTTCAAAACCCCCTTGTGAAGTAGGAAACTGATTTTATCTGTTATATAGATAGGGCAATTAGAGCATGAAAACGTTGTGACTCACTCAGAGTTGCAGTTAGTGAGAAACAGAAACCAAACACAGGCTTTTCCACTCTCTGTTGCTGGTTCACACCTCTATTTTCTAAGCTGGTACTCTCAAACTGTTGTCTAAATGGGTGTTCTCATCACAATTACCTGAACGGCTTGTTAAAACCCAGATTGCTGGCCCCCACTCCTGCAGTTTCTGATTCTATAAATCTGGGATCCAAAACCAAACCCGTTGCTGTCGAGTTGATTCCAACTCATAGCGACCCTCTAGGACAGAGTAGAACTGCCTCACAGGGTTTCCAAAGCTATAAGAGGCAGGCTGCCACATTTTTCTCCCATGGAGTGGCTCTTGAATTCAAACTGCAGACCTTTTAGTTAGCTGCCAGGCACTTAACCACGGAGCCACCAAGGCTCCTTAAGTCTGGGATAGGACCTGAGAATTTGCATTTCTAGTAAGTTCCTGGATGATGCTGATGCTACTAATTGGGGGACTACGTACTGAGAACTACTTCTCTAGGCCGTTGGTTCCCCATCTTTTTCAAGGTAAGGTGCATATATAAAATGGTAATATGTGAACAATACCATGGACTAAATTGCAGAGGCCATTCTTGGCCAAGGTGAATAGCCAAAAGCAGTTGGTCCTGTGACTGAAGGTGTCGACATCAATCCATGACTGGTCTTCATCAGAAGGAAAAAAAATAGGACAGTTCACAGCATTTTTATTCAAGTTAAGTAGATTTGATCTGAAGAGCTACCCTTTATTCTGGGAAATTATGACTTTCCTAATTCTTCAGTGTTAAAATGCTGTGTCTTTCATGAAAGGATGGTGATCATATGTGGTTTATTTCGTATCAAACCTTACTGGGAAATATTAAAAATGGACAACCTGAGGTTGGTTGATATTTTTTTTTTTTAATTGTTTTGGTCTGTCAAGTCCAAATGTTTGGAACCACACTTCAGACAGTGCTGCTGCCTCCTAACAGACATAGCAGAGTATTAAGACTGAGGAAGGACCAATGTAAATAGCTGAATAAATGAAGGGAACTTGAAACCCTACCCAGGAACATTCTGGCATTTTTTTTCCAGAGAACTACAGCCAGATGCTGTTGTCAGAGTATATGTACCAGAGTTCACTTCCTTGATAATTTGAGTTGTATGCCTGTTACCAGCTGAGAAGTTAAAATACTCAACATGGTATTGTCAGGGATGAGTTTTGTTATAGATAGAATAGCTAACTGCTATTTTCAGAGAGGCAGCCGAGTGTAATCTATACAAAAATATGTCTTTCATTGATCCTAAAATACACATTAGAATTTTTTTGTGTATATTTTCAATATTCTTATATAAAGTCCTTTTTAAAATTTACTTACAATGATTGACATTAAAACATTATCAGATTAACTAGCCTTTTACTTTGAATGCCCCCAAGGGAATGGGATTTAGACAAGTAAATTTTTATTTCATGGATGCTTAAGGTGCTGTTATCTAGGAAAGACATAGAGAACCATTTGAGGACACTAGGTAGACCAAAATAAGGAATTTAGGTGGAGGGTTAGCAATTGGTGACCAAGGGAACTACTATTAAATTATTTTGCAGGGTTGGTCCCTGCATCATGTGATGAACAGGTCTTTTGGGGTGCTCCAAAGGGACTTTGCTGAATCAGCCCCTGAGTCAGTGTGGATTTCGAGGAATATATATTGTCATAATATCAAGCAGGAGCCTCTAATCTAATAAACATTAGATTAGATGTGCCAGGCCTTCACAGAGCCCTGTGGATATGCTGATGGAGATAAGGGTTGCCCTGCAATCAACAAGCCCACAGTGTAGTGGGAAGTGGATGTGGGGGTTGGGATGCAAAAGGACAAGACTTGTGGACACTAATAACGATCAAAAACAGTGGGATCCAGAAAATAGAGCCATAGCCTAATATATAATATAGTCAGGAGACCTAGGTGCTAGCTGAATCCATGCCAGTTTGAAGTATGATCATGGACAAGTCATCCAACTTCTCTGATCTCAGTTTTTCCTTATATAAAATAGTAAAGATGTTCTTATCTCCCTTACCGCCTCAGATGGTTATAGGGAGAGTGAAGTCAAGAATAGAAAAGCACTTTGATTTCTTCAAAAGCCTTTGCCTTTGCTATGGAAATCTATGATTTCATTCTGATAGTTTCATAATATAGAGCTGAAATAGTCTACATAATCATTATCTACCAGAATATGGTAACAGTACCCACTAGTGTTTGTTTTGCTGTTGCTGTCTGCATGTTTAAATTTTTCGTGGAGTAATACAAAAGAACTTTTTATCCCCAGTTTTTCTGTCTCTGTTCATATTTATCTGCACCAAGATCAACTCAATAAATAATTGTCTTGTCTATTGTCATAGGAAAGAAGTAAAAAAAATTTCTCATTAGAGTGTTAAGGTGATATTCTTCCTATACTCCTTATGCATTTATTAGGTTTTCTAGATAAATAAATTTTGTTTCAGGATGAGGTACCTAGGGAATGGCAAAAACATAAAATGATATAATTTACCTGAAAGATTAAGACTGAGCTAAGCCCTAGATCGTAAAGCCATGTTAAATTGAGATATTGCTTTCTCTTTTCCAGCTGAACTGTCCCAGGCAATAAGCAGTGGCACATTATCAAAGCGATCCCCACCCTTACCACCTAAGAGAGGCATTCCATCAACCTTGGTACCCACCTCAGAGTCTGCTTCTGTTGCCATCACAAAAACACCAGGTGATCAAAGAGAGAAGAGTACGTGCTCTGTGGGTTCCGCACCGCTGCTGATGATCTCACCTCCTCCATCCCCCACACTACCTACTCATGTACCTCCAGAGCCCCCACGGTCCCCTCCAGTTCCATCCAAGACTTTTCAAGTTGTGCCAGAAATTGAGTTTCCACCTTCCGTAGAACTACCCCAGGAGGTTCCCCAGCAGGAAGATCAGAAAAAGGAAGTACCCAAGAGGATGTTGGAGCATAGCTTTGGGGAGCCTCATGTACCCTCTAGGCTGCCCCCACTCCCACTGCATATTCGAATCCAGCAGGCCCTAACCAGCCCACTGATCATGACGCCTCCCTTGGAGGGCTCTCACAGAGCCCATTCATTGCTGTTCGAGAACAGTGGCAACTTTTCTGAGGACAGCAGTACCCTGGGTCGGACCAGGTCACTTCCCATCACTATTGAAATGCTGAAAGTGTGAGTGCCTTTAAAACTTGCCTCTTGCTTCCCCTTCTTTAGTCTAGGTAGCCCTACTTGGAAAATAGTACTTATAAAAAGAAAATATGAGTAAATTTAAAGTAAAAAGAATAGGACAAGTTCTAGAATTTGGACTTTTTGATTTATGTTTTTTTCCATAGAATAGAGTTCCATGGTGACATAAAAACTACAAACTTGTGTACATGAAAAATAAAACCACTAGTTTTATATGATACAATGGAGGCAATGTAATATGGTGCTTAAGAACACTGGCCTTGGAGTAACACAGCCTTGGGTTCAAATCCCAGCTTTACCACTTATTTACTAGCTTGTAGTAATCTAAGTTACTTAACTTTTCTGATCTTTAGTTGTCTCATCTGTAAATGGGAACAATACTTACCTTGTAGATTTGTTGTGAGAAAGAAAATTAGTTAAGAAAAGAACTAGTGCCTGCCACACAAACTTGGTAGAGAAGAACAGAGGGAAGTCTAGAGAAAAAGAAGGGTCTTCTGAAAGGTAGTTCAGTATCCCAGCCCGTTGGGCTGAAACTGATATTCTTCTTTCCTTGATCAGTTCTTAAACACTGAATCTGTTCACACCAGCATTGGTACTTATACCTACTTTATCTGTCCTTCTAAGATTTAGACGAATTATGACTAAAAGTTGACACTTTCTGATTGGTGGAAGATTATCTTACTAACTAAAAATTTGTCATAAAAAGAACTGTTGCAGCATTCTATATGTTATTTGTTTTGCCATGATCTTAGTACTTGGTGGTAATATTTATTTCACATCCTGGACAAAGATAGTTTTGGAGTTTGAAGTAGACTCTAAATTGTAATCCTATACACTAGAGTGTAAAGAGGGACATTAGTTTTCATCTTTACTTCTCTTTACTCTCTTGGATTAGATTATTTTGTCCCAATCCATTGTTAAACAAAAGGGAAATGGATTAGATACATTTCATGAGCTAGGTACGGTGTTAGATGCGGTGCAGTCTTCTCATTTAAGTGACCAAAGCAAACTTGCATCTCACATGTAGGTCATCAGGGGACAGCTCTTTATATTAACAGTTGCTAAAAAATTTGTTAGCAAGATTGTTAAACCTAAGGAAGGGAATTGTAAATTATTTTATTCATGAACTTCTTCATAGTTCTTCAGTCATCATTTACCTTGGAAATCAATTATCCCCTTTTTTTCTGAAAAGAAAATATAATTCTGTTAATTTGTTAGTCCAGACGATGAAGAAGAAGAGGATCAAAGCCACCCGTCCGCATTCAGTGAAGACATAGCACCTACCTCAGTCATTCCTAAACTACCACAGTGTCTGCAGGAGGAAGAGGAAGAGAAGGAGAGTGACTCTGATTCAGAGGGTCCCATTCGGTACCGAGATGAGGAGGATGAAGATGAAAGCCAACACAGTAAGAAAGGGAGGGAAAAGCAAAAGAGAAAGTTCTTTTACAGGTAAAGCTACTTGCTGGTCTTAGCAAGTGTAAGATGAATGAAAACAGGCACCTTCTCCCATCGAGTCATCTGGCTGGTTTTGGAAGCCACTGTGAAGGGCTCCTTGTCCTTGCTGTCAACCCACTGTTATAACTAGCCAGTGAGAGGGAGCCAAGTAGATTGTTTGTTTTAGATTATAAAGCTATTCACCTTGATAGTATTAAAGAATGTGGATTAGAGGAAAGCTGTTCCATGGGCTATGTTGAAAAAACAAAAGTGATGCTTTCATTCAGTCTGATGAACTTCTTGTGTTCATGGAGCAAAGAATAAAACCATGCTCAGGCACACAAATCTTCGTGAATACCAGACTCCTGATTCCTAAAAGTGGGAAAGCAACTTTAAAAACAGATATATTATGAGGTGTGTTAATGCAAAAAACGGTTGTTCTAATTCAGAGGGCTGGCTCATGCTTAGATGATTTCTCCTCCAGCAACTCCAAGTAAAAAAAAGAGGACAAGTAAGAAGAGAGATAATAATGTTTGCCCATCTGAATATCTGGCTAAAAGATTTTTAAATCTCTTCAGCTTTTCTCTCACCTCTATGTTTGACTGGATCATCTGAGGCCAAGTACAGACTGGGGAGTTATGTTCGTTCTGGCTCTTGCCTGGCTCCAGGTGAGGTGGAACCTTTGACTTTAAGCTTCAAGCTTCTACATTTTTTTCTTCTCCTTGTGCAAAGGTGCTCTGGCCAACAAAGTGAAGAGGAAAGACACACTGGCAATGAAGTTGAACCACAGACCCAGTGAACCAGAATTGAACCTGAATTCATTGCCCCGAAAAAGCAAAGAGGAGTGGAATGAAATACGGCACCAAATTGGGAACACATTGATCCGGTAGGTCTTTTTTAGAGGAGATTAATTTGATTATGCCAATCTGTGTGTTAGAGACTTAAGTTACGGTGAACATTTATTTGTTGGTTTTTTTTTCAAGGTTTAAAAGTAGTGTAATTTTTTTAAGTACCTGTTGAACACGGATATCCTCTAAGAACTTGCAGATTAAAGAACTAGATGGCACTCAAGCTTTAAACCATGAGATAGGCATATGGTTTTACAAAAGTATCTAGAAAATTCAGGGTGGCTTCCAGGACAACAAGACTTTTCTGTTACTTTTTTATCCAGCTCCTCAACCATCAGGTGCCAACCCAGTAAAAGATCACATCCATATTTTTTATTATATCTATTTCACACATTCCATATAACTGCCTCCTTTCAGAGTATTAGTGTATTTTTCAAATCAGCTGGAACCAAAAGCAAAGGGAAGACTGAATGCGAGCCAGCTTCCCACAGAGTCCGGGTATACAGACAGGTGTTTGCCCATTCACATGTTTCTCTCGATAGAGAGGAAAAGGAGGTAGAACCCTTGGCATATTCCTTACAAATTAATTAACTGATCCATAGACACATCCAAACTCCCTGAGGGACTGAACTGCTTGGTGGAGGGCTGTGGGGACCATAGTCTTGGGGAACATCTAGCTCAATTGGCATAACACAGTATAAAGAAATTGTTTTACACTCTACCTTGGTGAGTAGCATCTGGAGTCTTAAAAGCCTGTGAGCAGCCATCTAAGATACTCCACTGGTCTCACCCCTTTGGAAGCAAGGGAGAATGAAGAAAACAAGATACAAGGAAAAGATTAGTCCAAAGGACAATGGGTCACAACTACCATGACCTCCACCAGACTGAGTCTAGTACAACTAGATGGTGCCCGACTACCACCACTGACTGCTCTGACCGGGATCACAACAGAGGGTCCTGGACAGAGCTGGAGAAAAACACAGAACGAAATTCTAACTTACAAAAAAAGACCAGATTTACTGGTCTGACAGAGACTGGAAAACCCCGAGAGTATGGCCCCCAGATACCCTTTTAGCTCACTGATGAAGTCACTCCCAAGGTTCACCATTCAGCCAAAGATTAGACAGCCCCATAAAACAGAACGAGACTAATGGGACACAACAGTCCAGGGACAAGGACCAGAAGGCAGGAGGGGACAGGAAAGCTGGTAATAGGGAACCCAAGGTCAAGAAGGGACAGTGTTGATATGTCGTGGGGTTGTTAACCATTGTCATAAAACAGTATATGTACTAACTGTTTAATGAGAAAGTACTTTGTTTTGTAAACCTTCATCTAAAGTACAATAAAAATATTTTTTGAAATCTAAAAAATAATTAACTGAGGGTGTTCATTAATTAAAATATATTTCCTCTCCTATCCCAGACACCTGGCTTTGCTGTATATGCTGTGCCTAGGGACAAACTTGGTCCTTTTTCTTACAGTAGACACTTTTTGGATCCTGAGACCATTCTATGCAACTTTATTATTACTATTATCATATAATTCATTTATATAAAATGTCCAGAACAGGCAAATTCATAGAGACAGAAAGTAGGTTAGTGATTGCCATGAACTGGGGGGAGGTCTTTTTGGGGTGAAGAAAGTGTTCTGGAATTAGATAGTGGTGATAGTTGCGCAATTTTGTGAATATACATTAAAAGGGTGAATTTTATGGTGCATAAATTTTATCTCAGTTAAAAAAAAAAAGTCAATATTGACATGTCTTGGAATAGAGAAGGAGTATGTGTGATGTTCACGCCTGATGGCCTCCATTCCTTTCCATGAAGGAGAAAACCTCAAAAGGGTATTCTGGCTAGTGTTAGGTGAAGTAAGATTTAACCTAGTAACCTATAGATTCAGAAGAAACCTAAGGCCATTATTTCTGTGCAACTTTTTTACTTATACATAATGGTCAGCCTGTATAACCTCTGTAGTCTATCCATTGTTGAAATTAAAAAGAGAAATTAGAGAGAAGGGAAGTGGAAGCCTCCCCTTTGCTCTGACAATGTCCATAATGCATAGGGCACTGATATGAAAATCACTTTGGTTGATGTGCATCTTGGTGTGATACCAAAAGGTCATCTGAGGGAAGGCTGAGGGTGTGGCCCATTACACTTAAGGTTTAGATATTTAGTACATGTTTTTATTTTTTTACTTATTTAACATTTTATTTTGAAAAAAAATTTTTCAAACTTACAGAAAGCTTGCAAAAGCAGACCTCAGGTTGGATTTGGCCCTGGGGAGAGCTATAATCAGTGATATTTTGTATTCTTTTTGAGTGTTTCTATACGCATGTTTTACATGGTGTGTGTATAATGGTATGGTATAGGTTTTTTTTTTATCATAGTTTCCTTGTTACCATATAGTCTTTGTAGTCAGATACTTACAATGTATAACAATCCATTGAGTTAATATAGTATAATTAATCATATCCCTATTATTGCACATTGAAGTTGCTTCTAATTTTTTGCTACTTTAATTCATTTTAAGTCAGTGGCTCTCAAACTTTAGCATTCATCAGAATCACCTGATGGGCTTGTTAAATCACAGATTGCTGGGCTCTATACCCAGATATTTTGATTCATTAGATCTGGGGTTGGGTCTGTTGATATATATTTCTTGCTGATACTGCTGGTCCTGGGACGATACTTAGAGAACCACTGTAGTAAATAAACATCTTTTGGATTATAGAGCTGAATTCTGTAATCCCTGTTCCTCACTTTTTTCAGAAATTAAAAAAAAAAAAAAAATCATTCATGGTCACAGATACAGCCCTTCTTCCCAGTAGCTGTTCTTTCTGGTAAAGTTATGTCTTCTCTGCTACTCTTGCCTTACTAGTGATGGGACTGTCATCTTCTCATACAAAGGACAACATTATTGTTAGTTTATTCCCAGAATTAGATTGGAGTTATCCTCATGGAAAGTAGTTTTTTGCTGGAATAGCATTAATTGGAGAGTTCAGAAACAGTATTACAACAGGACCTTGTCCAACCTTATGAGCCCCAGGAGAGTGGTAAATGCTCTGGCCACTGCCAGATCCTACGTCCTCTCAACTATCATAGGAGTGGGAAGAAAATTTTATTATCAGTCCCATAGTCCCTCCCTTGATTTTGCACATGGTAACCAGCAGTCCAGAGAAACAGACTGAACTGGTGCATCCTCCCCTTCCTCTAGGATCTGGTTCCCAGGGTCTAGTAACTAGTGTTTACTGCAAAGCTAGTTGCCCATCTTTCAGTGTTGTTTCACAGGTCACAGGTGAATACTAGCTTATTGAATACTGGCAACAAACAATAGGGAATGGAAGTTTTAAAATACATTACCATTTACAATAGCATCCAAAAAAATTAAATACTTGGGAGTAAATCTTACAAAAGATTATATAAGAGCTGTACACTTAAAACTATAAAATATTGCTGAATAAAGTAAAAAGAAGATCTAAATAAATGGAGAGAAATACCTATTCATGGATCAGAAGACTCACTATTAAGATACCAATAGATTCGATGCAATTCCAATCAAAATTCCACCAGCAGGCCTTTTTTTTTTTTTTTTTTTTCCAATTGACAAACTGATTCTAAAATTCTTACGGAAATGCAAAGGATGTAGAATAACCAAAACAACTATAAAAAAAAAAAAAGGAACAAAGTTGGAGGACTAACAACCTTATTTTAAGATTTATTATAAAGCTATAGTGTAATATTGGCATAAAGATAGTCAAATAGTTCAGTGGAACAGAACAGAGAACCCAAAAATTTTGTTGTTGTTGTTGGGTGCCATCAAGGTGATTCCTACCCATAGCAAACCCGTGTGACAGAGTAGAACTGCCCCATAGGGTTTTCTTGACTGTAATCTTTACGGGAGCAGATAGGTAGGTTTAAACTGCCAGCCTTTCAGTTAGCAGCCAAGAGCTTAACTGTCACACCACCAGGGCTCCTTACCCTTACATGCACAACTAATTTTTTTTAACAGTACAAAGTCAATTTAATGGAGAAAGGATAGTCTTTACAACAAAGGGTGCTGGGTATACATATATAAAATTAATGAACTTCCATCCATACTTTCCAAAATTTATGCATATACAAAATGAACTTAAAATGGATCATAGGCTTAAATATGAAAGCTAAAACTGTAAAACTTCTAGAGGAAAACAGAAAATCTTTGTGACTTTTGAGTTTGACAAAAATTTCTTAGATATAGCCTCAAAAGCATGATCCATAAAACAAAAAAACTAATAAATTAGACTTCATCAAAATTAAAAACTTCTTTTCTTCAAAAGAAACTATTACATAAAAATCTCAGTCCTCATCCTAACTTCCTGAACCAGAATTTCTGTTGATGTGCCTTGGGAAACCGTGTTTAGGACTCCCCAGTCCAGTCTAAACCCCTCATTTTACAGATTAGGATACTCAGAGTCTAACAGAGGTTTTCTTTTTTGGTGGTAATAGGACTAGTTGGTGTCAGAACTAGAACTAGAATCCTGACTTTCTGTTTGCCTATACAATTCTTTTTATCTTGTGATACTTGTGTTAGCATTTTCATTGTGAACATTGTTTCATAAAAATGAATCAAATAAATAAAATGTCAAACAAGTTTGAAAGTTTATTGATTTCTTAGTAATGTAGGGGATAACATACACTAAGACCAAAAAAAATCTTTATAAACAAGATTGGGAGGTTTAACACAGACAGTAAATCATATTTATCTCCGTTTTAGTCGACTGAGTCAAAGACCAACACTAGAAGAACTAGAACAACGAAATATACTACAACGTAAGTCCACCTATTGAAATAAAGTTGTATAGATTTTCTTTGCATGTTTCTGGCTTTAACATGTTTCACAAAGAAGAGGAGCATTTACTACAAGGGCCAAGCAGAGAAGGGCTATTGGTATATTTTTCCTTGAAGAAACATGATTCTTCTGCGCTTCTTTTGGAAGACACTATTGTGGTATTGTTTAGTATACTGGGATACCCCTCAGAAGATTTTGTTTTTAAGTTCTCACAGTATCCTGGATTTGACAGCGTACAATAGGTGTGGCCCAATTTTCTCTGTCTTCAGGGAACTCAGTTAGCAGCTTTGCACATGAAGGGGACCTTCCTGTTCCTAGTGGCATCTGAGGACTGGGGTCCAAAGCGAATCCCAAGTGTAGCAGTGTTCCTGTGTCTTTTATCCCTTAAGACTTTTCTTATCTCTTGGTATTTCTTTTCTTTTTTTTGTAATTCTGATTTAGACGAATGTTTACAGAACAAATTAGTTTCTCATTAAACAGTTAATACACAAATTGTTTTGTGACATTTGTTGCCAACCCCACCATGTGTCAACCTTCTCCCTTTTTCCACCCCGGGTTCCCTGTTTCCATTCGTCCAGTTTTCCTGTACCTTCTTGCCTTCTCGTCTTTGCTTTTGGGCTGGTGCACCCATTAGTCTCGTATACGAGATTGAACTGTGAAGCATGTCCCTCACATGTGTTATTGTTGGCCCAATAGACCTGGCTGAAGGGTGAACCCCAGGAGTGACTTCAGTACTGAGTTAAAAGAGTGTCTGGGGGCCATACTCTCGGAGTTTCTCCAGTCTCTGTCAGACCACTAGTAAGCCTGGTCTTCGTGTGTGTGTGTGTGTGTGTGTGTGTGTGTGTGTGTGTGTGTGAATTTGAATTTTGTTCTACATTCTTCTCCCACTCTGTCCAGGACCCTCTATTTTTATCCCTGCCAGAGCAGTCGGTAGTGGTAACCGGGACACCATCTAGTTGTTCTGGATATCTCTTGGTATTTCTAAAGTCAGTTTGCTTTCTGTGTACATAATTAACTTTTTGCTATGGTCTTTTAACATAGTACAGATTTGTTTTATTTTTTCAGATTATAGAATAAAAATTGGCCTTAAAAACCTCTGCACTGAAGAGGTGTAGTCTTCCCAAAGGTTACTTGTGGACAGGCTAAGTCTCTGACAAGTTCCACCCTGTTTTGTCAATAGTTTGGATATACACAACTTCAGTCACTTCGTAAATTTTAAAGTATAGGGGCCTTTATAGACCTATCACATGAAACTTAGTGTGATCCTCATTCTCCATTCTAAGTGGTTACTCTTGAGCAGGGGTCTGTAAACTTTTTCTTACAGAGCAGACAGTAAATATTTTCAGCTTTGCAGGCCAAGAAATAAAATTGAGGCTATTACTTAGGTACTTATAAAGCCATTTAAGATGTAGCCATTTAAAAGTGTAAATTCCATTCTTAGCTTGTGGGCAGTTAAAGTACTGGCAGCTGACCAGATTTGGCACTATAGTTTGCTGACCCCTGCTCTTGAGTATTAGACTTTACTAGTTGGCAAGAAAATTGTCTTCATTAGCCATCCCCGAAGTTAGTATTGTATTCTGATTTGGAGCCTGTAAGAAATATCTGAGATATACTTACTAAAAAGTTTGATATGCAGAGTTTCATTTTTGAAGTAATAATTTTTGTTTCTGACTCTAAACTGTAGCTAAAAATGAAGCTGATCGTCAGGCAGAAAAACGAGAGATTAAACGTCGTCTCACTAGAAAGGTACTGCTGCCTATGTGTTTGGTTTCAGTCTATCTGTTGTCTATTTGTCTTGTATTTGGATGACCTATTTGACTGGATAAAAATTGGTTTGACTTGAATTGCCATAGAGTGCTATGAAAATTAAAACAGGATACAAATACAGAAAACAACATGACGTTATCAAGAGCAACTTTTTTTTTCCATTTGTATTGTTTAAAGAAGGCCTGGCACAAGAAGATGCTCAATACATATTTGACTAGACCCATTTTTACTTTCCTTTGGTAGACCTGGGATTTTGATGAAGGCTCTAATAATAACCTGTTGAAGTGTAGACAGTAACAAGAGGAGTGTGTAGCATTCAGTTTTGCAAAGCAAACTGGTTGTTTTCTAATCAGAGGAAGAACTAAATTGAACTGACCTTTAGTAATACCTGAGAAATATAAAAAAATCAACCATGTTTTCTCCATGGTCCAAATCAATTTGTAAATCTTTTCTGTTCCAGATTTGTGTTAGCTTTTAAGCCCTGGGGTTAATCCCTTGCTCCCTTCCTTCCTACCATATTAGGTTGTCGTTGTCTTCTGTAGATTCTCAGATTTGGTCTGAGTTCTCTAATATTTCTTAGAGCTAGTAAGAATCCCCAGGAGAGCAAAGGATCTAAACATTCTCTTCCTGATTTCTCTTATCCTCCCCTTCCCCAAGACAGAGTAAGTGTCCTTGATAAATTGAAGATAGTCAGGTGCCCTGGATGGACTTAATGCCTTCAGACTGAGCACATTAACCTGATTATGCAGCCTTAAATCACAATTTTTACAGAATATGCTACCTTGGACATCATTCATGTTGAAAGGAAATTTACCGTTAATATCATCCACTAGTAGATGTTGCTTTCATTTTAAATGCATTCATTTTCTGATGCATTTGTATATGTATTTATAGCTCTAACTCATCCCATAAAGACTAAAAGCCTTGCTACTCAAAATGTGGTTCACAGACAGAATCTCAGGCCTTACCCTAGACCCACTTACCAGAATCTACATTTTAACAGTATTTAACAATACACATTAAATTTTGAAAAGTATTGGATTAGAGCAGTGATTCTCAATCTTAGCTGTGTACTGAGGAGCTTTTTTAAAACTCCTATGTCCAGAATTATTAAATCAGAATCTCTGGGGGTGGACCCAGGCATCAGTATTATTTAAAGCTCCCCAGGTGACCCCAACGTGCAGTGAAGGTTGGAGTACAGGGTTAGAGGTAATTGAACGCATGATTGATGCCTACTTCCTGGCACAGCAAACTAAGAAGCTCCATTTCTTTCAGCTCAGTCAAAGGCCAACTGTGGCCGAACTACTGGCCAGGAAGATTCTGAGGTTTAATGAATATGTTGAGGTAACAGATGCTCAAGATTATGACCGGCGAGCTGACAAACCTTGGACCAAACTGACCCCTGCTGATAAGGTAACCAGAAAGTTTGTTTTTAAGTTTTTTTTCTGTATTGAAAGGATGCAAGACACTAACTAGAAGAGGGAACCATAAACAAAGCTTCTAGTTTTGATACAATGTTAAATTTCAAATCAGGATACAAAATGCCAGAATGTAATTGAAAGAAAAGAAAAACCCTACTACATCACAGAAGACAAAAAAAAATAAAAACTGGAAGGAAATAAAACACACTCTTAACAGCAGTTATGTTTGGTTGCGGGTAGTTTGGGTGATACGTTTTAGAAATTATGCACATTTTACTTTTATAATGGGAAAAACATTTTACATGCTGTGGAAACTATAAAAACTGTAATCTCTCTTCAGGATTCTTTTCAACTTTTCAAGGATTTTGATTTAACTGGTGATGGTTTTAGAGTGATGTCATGAATGGTACTGGGAAAGGTGATGTGAGTCAGGCCCAGAGCTCACTTCAGTGTGTTGACCTGGTTTCCTTTCCTTCTTCCTGGTTGCCTGCTGGGGTTGCAGTGACTCAAAAAGTAAGGACAATAGAGAATAGATAGCAAACCACACTCCTAGAGTACAGCAAATAGAAGATAGTGCAACATTTTTGTTTCTTCTCCACAGGCTGCCATAAGAAAAGAATTAAATGAATTTAAAAGCTCAGAAATGGAGGTTCATGAAGAAAGCAAACATTTTACACGGTAAGACTCAAAGACCTAAATACTGTGAGCTAAGTGGAACCCCTAAAAACATACAAACAAACATACAAATCAGAGTTGTTCAGATATGAAGGACCCTAATGACGTGGTTGTAAGGACACTCAGTGGTGATTGCAAAAAGACGACCTTAAGAGAAGGGATGAGAACTAAGAGTTATTAAATGCCTATTCTGAGTTTGGCATTTAATGTATATTATGTTATTTAATCCTTGCAATACAACTGAAATGCATGTTCATATCCGCATTTTATAGCTGAGGAAACAGAGACTCAGGAGGTTAAGTAAGTTGCTTAACTTGCTAGTTGGTTGCAGAGCCAGAATTTAGAGAAAGGAATGAATGGCTCTCTTCCCTGCACTTTACTGTCCCAGGTTATATCTGAGGAGATTATGCTGTGTTGACAAGATGTTGTCATCTATGTTTTCAGTTCTGTCTAGCACAGTTGATCTTACCAAGTTAATATACAGGCAGTCCCCAGGTTATGAAGGAGTTCTGTTCCTAAGTCTGTCTTTAAGTCAAATTTGTATGTAAATTATAACAGTTAAGTACAGTTTGTACCTAACGTCAGTTAGTCAAATGTTTGTCTTAATATATAGTATATAGTGTACCTTTCTATGCATAAAAACATTAAGGAAACCCTTCCAGATACACTAAAACATCTTTAACATAATAATGTTTTGAGGCACTCGCAAAATAGCACCCGTTTGTTATTACGAACCATTGTATGTACCTCGAATTTTTAATATAATAGGGTTTACAGGGGTTGGTTCGTAACTAGTAACTACGGGTTGTACCTAAGTCAGTCGTTGTTTACCCACAGTCTACTTGTATAAGCTTTTTTAATTAGCTGTCTTTTTGCCAAGAAATATTTTAAGTCAGAATTAACTATTGTGATTAAGACCTACCCAATATCTAAAAAATTAGCCAGTCACAAATGGAATTAGTGGAAGTACCTTTATTTGACTGTCAGAGCATTTGTGAAAAGAAGCTAAATGAAGGAAGATTTAATGAGAAATACAGAGTTTGCTGTAAAAAGAAGAACAAGCAAAGGTGGAAAATAAAATTTTTTCAAGTCGTTTTCATTAATATATGAGCAAATTGTTATTTTGATCACAGAATTATTTTGTACTGAGCTCTGACAGGAGAGAAGACAGATTTTTTGCATAGCAAAAACATCACTCAAGCCACTGAAGTACAAACATGAATGATAAACCATAACTTGTCTGTAAGGAGTTATTAATCTAATCTGGAAAAAAGACATGTTTATTACTAAATGCAGTATGATCAGCACAATAAATGCTTCAGAGTCAGTCGGTCAGGATTCATATCCCAACTCCACCATTTCCTAGCTATTTCAGTAATAGCTATTTTCGTTGTTACAGCAGTCATAAAGTGCTGTAGTGACCACAAATGAAGGAATAAGACTAGGTTTTCCTAAAGGAAAGAGTCATAGAAAAGGTGACAGATAGGCTGGATCTTAAAGTATACAAAAGAATTTATCTGGACGAGAAGGAAGGAAAGAACATTGCAAGGAGAAGGACCAGCATAAGCGAGGCTATGGGAGGTAGAAAATGCCCGGTATTTATGAGTAATAGGAAATGTGGCTGGAGAAGAGGATGTATGGAGGAAAATGAGACCAGAAAAGTGGATTGGGTCACACTTTGAAGAACTTTGACTGTTATGCTAGGATGTTGGAACCATTAGAAGTTTGTAAGTAGAGAATTCTGTGTATTTCATAATGAACTCTGATGGCAGTGTAGAAGGTGATTTGGAAGTATGAGGAGACTAGCTGCAAGGAAACCAGTTAGGAAGTGATGGAAATAGCCATAGTAAGTGACAGTGGTAGCTCAAATCAGGGTAGTGACAGTGAGAATTCAAAGGAGGCATATTTGAAAGACATTTCAAGCGGAGAATTAACAAGATTTTATAATTATTGGATTAAAAAAATACCAGTTGCCATAGAGTCAGTTTTGACTCGTGGCCACCCCATCTGTGTCAGAGTAGAACTGCACATATGGTTTTCAACGGCTGTGACCTTTTGGAAGTAGATCACAGGCCTTTCTTCCGAGGTACCTCTGGGTAGAAACAAACCACCAACCTTTAGGTTAGTAGCCAAGTGCTTAACTGTTTGTGCCACCCAGGACTCCTCTGTTGAATTAGAGGGGTGAAATATAGAAAGTAGTCACAATGACTCTTAGATTACTAACTTGTGATTTTTGAGGTCTGTGAAGGAGGTAAATAGTTCAGGCCTACAGTTTAGGACATTTAGTCAATAATTATTTATTGAGCACCTACTATGTGATGGCCACAGTACTAGGTGCTTGGGGTGCAGCAGGGATCAAGATAAAGTCCCTGTCCCCAGAGAGCTTTTATTCTAAAAGAGGAAGGCAGACAATAAACAAATCAAAAATAAAGTATGTATATTGAGTTTGAAGAGCATGTGACACTCTGAGGTGGAGATGCCTAGAAGGTAGTTGGATGTTCAGCCTAGAGTTCAGGAGAAAACAAGGCTTAAAAATACCAGTTTATGAGAGAAGACAGTGGATCTTTAGGGGGAAAAATGTTTTTTATTTAAGGGACAGGCAGAGGGAAAACAATCAGGAAAGTATATTGAGGAAAAACGAAGAGTAAGAAAGAAAAGTAAGGGAAAAATACTGTTAATGGAAACCAAGAGAGTTTCAAGAAGGAATGAAGGGGGATTAGGAGCATCAGATGCTACAGAAAATTCAAGCAGAATTAGAAGAGAGGGGGAAAAAAGTTTGTTTTTTTTTAATTAGGATGTAGCATTTCATTGCTACTGATTTAATAGCAAACCAAACTACATTATTTGGTAACTTGTCTTTTTTTCATCGTCTGTTTTAGCTACCATCGTCCGTGATGCTGAAATTTCAGAGAACTGAGTGACAGCCCCCAAAACAGGCTGCTTTGCTGCTTCATCCTCCAGAGTAACATAGACAGGGAACTTAAGTGCTTCCCAGCCCAGCCAAAATTGGGCCCTCTGGGGTGTAGTTCTGTGGTGAACAGCACTTCTATGAATGTAGCATTTCACTGGAATGGATTCTCATGGGCTGCCCCTGGGTACAACTGAACACTTTGTCCGTGCTTTTCAATTTTTTAATATTGCAGCATACTTGAGGGGGTCTTCTCTCACCAGCCACCAAAGTTCTAGGCCACCTGCAGGTTCCAAGTTTTATTGGCTGCACCACACCTCGCCCCAGGATGACTTGCCTGTGCCAAGGCACAGTTTGCACCATTGGCCTTACCTGCCGCACCCTGATTGTGAGACCCACTTGTGTAGGCACTAAGTTCCTGCCATCAATTCCAGTTGACAGTGGAGAAGACCTTTTTTTGGGGGCCCCAATCTTCCGGCAAAGGGGCTCCCACCTCCAGGGGAAGCATGTCAGTTGAAAAGCATTGCACTGTACCTCTTAGAGGGAGCCCTGGTGGTACAATGGTTAAGCGCTGAGCTGCTAATTAAAAAGTTGGCAGTTTGAACCCACCAGCAGGAGAAAAATGTGGCAGTCTGCTTCTGTAAAGATTTATAGCCTTGGAAAATCCTATGGGGCAGTTCTCCTCTGTCCTATAGGGTCATTATGAGTCAGAATTTGACTAACAGCAGTGAGTGGATACCTCTTATAACATAGCAATATATTCCTCTTTAGGTACTCAGAGGAAGCTCAGGATTCAGCATGTTCCCCCTTTTTGGCATAAGCCACCCTAATTTTTTACAAAAATTTATCATAAAGAAGTAATGGAAACTTATGTACTTTTTGTCTGTCAAAGAATCTGAGCTGTAACCAGACCAAGTTTGTAGAATGAGAAAGTATGTGTATTTTCTATGTACAAAAACAAAACTAAAAAAGCCTTCATAATAATGCCAACTTGGCAGAAAACTGACTTGTGGCTTAAATTTTGTAGGCTATTGTACTTTATTTATACCAAATGATATTCTGGATCACTTTTGGCCAATACATGTATCCTCCTCCATAAAGCAGCGTTGTAGCAACTCTGTGAGCACTTGTGTGTTGTTGGCCCCCACACCTCCAGAATCACAAAAAGGACCTAAAGGGTGTGGGGTGCTGGACAGGAAAAGGTCTTTGAAGAAGCAACAAGAGGGGCCCAATCATGACCCACTGCTCCTCTCTTCTTCTTCTCAGTGCCGTTTGCCCTCTCCTGCTGCACTCTCCCTCTTAACTCCAAACACTGATCCTTCCGCTGACTCTCTGGCAGCTTCCACCTCACTCGTCTCGTCCTTCCTCTTCCAGGCTCTAGCCAGTGTCGTTGGTGCCTGGACATTGGGTCAGCGCCTCCCTCCTTTTGTATTTGTAATATATATTAATACTGTTTCCTAAAACACAAGATTCGTTTGCTTTGTTTGATTTTTATTGAAAACCATACAGCCTCACTATTTCAATTCCTATCCACACTAAGTGGAGGAAAAAAATAGTTTCTATTTAATTGATGAATGTAGCTTTTTTTTTTTTTTCACTTTAATGTTCAGGAAATTGTGACTTTCATAGATTTCTTCTGATTTATTCTGCAGTCCTTGCCTTTTGTTCTGTTTGAAATCCATCACTAGATTTTTCTCTTTTGATAAGATTTGCTGAAGGATCAAAATATCAGATCAAAACAAAAAAGCCGAAGTGACCTTAAAAGGCAGTGTCTCTTCTCAGTAAAGTAAAAGGGATATTTGGATTTCTCGGTTCTGTCCAATGTTTTTTGACTGTGGAGATAGACTGGGTCCACATCTCCTTGGAGCTGGCTAACATTTAGGATAACTGAAGGAAGATAAGTGAAGATTCTACTGAAGTGTGTTATTGGTCTATATGTAAGGTGGCCACACATTAACTGCTAACTTGCCTTCTTCTGACCATATTCGTTGGTTTGTAAACTTAACTGGCTTATGCCAGCATCTTTGTGGTTTGAGATGACGTTTCGAAAGCCTTCTCTTAGAAAACTGTCTTTCTTTTCCTGAATGTGCCAAGCTTGATGCAGGATTTGCCTGCCTTCTATGTGCCACCAAGGGGTCCAGTTCATCTTTCATCTCGTTCATGTTCTTTTGAAGCAAGATACTTGCAGGGGGTGGAGGGTGTCAAGTCTTTCTAGGTGTTTTGGTTTTGTTTTTTTAAATAAAATCTATTTTGTCTTCTTTCCCTGTAATTACTAATTCACAATCATAATGTAAAGAAGAAATAAAAGCCTGGTGTATTGTACTTCAAGATACTTCCCTGATGTACAGAATCTCCTTGTAAAATAAATAATTGCATTGTATATCAGTCTTCATATCAATATTAATTATTAAAGTATTTTAGAATTTAAAAAAAAAACTATACTATTCTTGTGTGAGATTTTTTTTGTTTTACGTCGTACCCTATAAAGATTTAAGCCATCTTAAAAAGGATACCTAAAATAATTGCATGAGACGCTAAATGAGAAGTCAATGAGGGAAAAGTGTAATAGTAAGGACATTAAATGTAGCCAGAGATAAAGGTCAGTCATGTTTGTGTCTGTGCACGTTTTAAAAAAAAAATAGGCTGAAGAGAGGAGAGCCAACTGAGTGCCAGGCTATGTACCAGGTACTGCACTCGTGCTTTATCCCATTTAGCCGACACCTAGCCTGTGAGGTAAGTGGTAGTATATTCATGTACCAGTGAAGAACCTGAGAAGTGACCTGAAGTCACTTCCCCAAGGTCAAAGCAAATCATGTAACCACCATTTGCATATATTTAAAGGCAAGCAAGCAGTTGCTACCCAATCTATTATCTCTACAAGGATTTACCAAGTATGGACCACATATAAGTGGACCTTAGGCTGACATCACAAGACAGCTGGTACTTCATGCACTTCTCTCTGGCAACCAGCCCAGTTTCAATCCAGGTGGTGTCAGCAATGACTCACTTTCTGTTTGTCACTTCAGAGAGTGGCCTTGTTTAACACACCACCTTTTACCAAGGGTTAAAAGAAACCATGAGTCAAAAATGCTCATGTCCTTGGGTTCTACCTGCTTCCAGGTTTTCCTTCTAGTAGCCCTCAAACAGCCCTCAAATTGCTATTTCTTTTTTTGCTTTTGTTGCTGTTGTTTGTTTTTAATATTACTGTGTTTTTGGTGAGAGTTTACACAGCAAATTCGGTTTCCATTTAACAATTTCTACACAAATTATTCAGTGACGTTGATTACATTTTTCATAATATGTCAACATTCTTATTCCGTTCTGATTGTCACGAGTTCTTTTTTTTCCTTCTAAATTTTATTTTGTTGTTGAGAATATACACAGCAAAACATCCATCAGTTCAACAGTTTCTACATGTACAATTTAGTGACATCAATTACATTCTTCAAGTTGTACAACCATTCTCATCCTCCTTTTCTGAGTTGTTCTGCCCTCATTAACATAAACTCACTGCCCTGTAAGGTTCCTATCTTTTGAGTTGCTGTTGTCAATTTGATCCCATATAGATAGTTCTTAAAAGAGCATAATACTGAAGACAGACCTTTTTTACTAGTTAAGCTAAACTATTGTTTGGTTTCAAGAAGACATCAGGGGATATTTTTTGTTTAAAGATTACCTCACGGCAGTAGTTTCAGGAATTCATCCACCCTCCATGGCTCCAGAAAGTCTGTAGAGTCCATGAGAATTTGAAATTCTGTTCTGCATTACCAGAAAACTGTTTTGAACGTGCATACTGCCCAGTGATTGCTGAAACAATGAATGAATTTGGGGTCCTTGTAGAAGTTTAGATTACTGTATCCCACAGAGGACTTCATTTGGAGACTGAGAAATTTGGAAACGAGTGTCAGAAAAGGCAAATCCAATGAATATTGAATTGGCAGGGGATGGGATGGGAGGTGTACTTAAAAAGATGAGAATGTGCAACAAAGAAAGGCCAGGTCCTGAAGCCAAAACACAGCTTAAACCACTGCTTCAAAGTTCAATTAAATCCCAGCCCTAGGAAGCATGAAGGGAAAAGCAGGAACCACCAGTGACCTGGACCACTTGTTCCTTCATCTGTCTCTTCTGTGGATACTGTTAACTCTTTCCCCTAAGAATTTTGCCTCCAGAGAGCATAGAGGTCATCTCTGACAGGAACAATCACCCTCAATTTTCCTTCCATGTGGCACTGAGAACATACACATTTATTTATTTACTGTTTTACCTCCTTCCTACACTCCCCCATCCAAAAAAAAATCTTCTCTTAGCTACCTTCTCTTCAACTTATTACTCCATCTTCTGCTTTTCCTACTTTCCCTTCACAGAATCTAAGGTAAACAACCTAAATTCCTAGAGTCCAGGCAGTTGAGCTAAATGAGTGACAGGTGGGGAAAAAAATAAATGACTAAGATGTAGTAAACTGAAAGGCTTCTTTGCATCAGTTTATGACCTCTGGTCTGTAGACAGTGTTCCCTTTCTAAAGGCATATTCACTCAACTCATTAAAATCTAAACTAAAATTCAAACTAAAATGGCTTTCCCTAAGGTCCCCAGTGACTTCTCAGTTAACTGCCACATCCAGAAACCTGTTTTCAATTCTTATTTGTCTACTCTGCAGCATTTGATGCTTTTGGCCATGCCCTAGTCCTCAAAACTCTGCTTACTTGGCTTCTGAAGCATTACTGTCTCCTGGTTATCTCTGACCACAATCTCTGTCCTGTTGGCTTCTCTTTTCCTGACCATCATTTACATGCTGGGTTTTCATGTCCTCTCATCACTCTTTCTGTTCTCTCAGAATGACCTCAGCCACTCACTGATTTCAGCCACCACCCTTATTCTGACAATTAAATTTTAATCTCCAACTCAGATTTCTTGCAGGAGCTCCAACGCAAATATCCTGTTGCCCTTTGCACATATAATAATAATACACCTAGATCTTCCCCAGGCAACATATATGCACCTCCAATGTGGACCTTCGTTGAAAACCCTATGGAGCACTTCTACTCTGCACACATGGGGTCGCCATGAGTTAACAACAAATAATGTGGACCTTACTCTTCACCCCCTCAGCCTGCTTTCTCAGCTGTCGGGGTTAGAGACCACCATACACTTAGCCTCCCAAGGCTGAAACTTTGTAATCATCCTTGAGTCCTCTTATCCAGAAACGCATCAAATTTTATGCATTCTCTACCTCAGAAATCTCTCTCGATCCCTGTATCTCTTTTCTTGTTCACCATCCAAGTTCAAAGCCAACATAATTTAGTGGGACTTTACAACATCCCACTAATGCCTCCAATCTATCCTTCAATAATACTACTGGAGCTATCTTTCTAAAGTACAAAAATGATCACAGCAATCTTTCACTACAAAACTTACTGGCCCCCAGTTACCTGCAGGATAAAATTCAAACTCCTCGGCCTGGTCCACAAGATCTCTTGTAACTCAGCTCCTACCTATTCTTCATCTCAAGGCCCACTTTTCCCTTTAATGTTCCTTATCAAGCTAACAAACCTTAGCTCAAATTTTAACTCTCCAGTGAAGTCTTCTCAGCCTTTAGCAGATTGTTCAGTCGCTCTGTCCTCTGAAAACACTTTATTCATACGGTGTTGTTGTTAGGTGCCATGGAGTCGGTTCCAACTCATAGCGACCCTACAGGACAGAGTAGAACTGCCCCGTAGGGTTTCCAAGGAGCTGCTGGTGGATTGGAACTGCCAACCTTTTGGTTAGCAGCTGAGCTCTTAACCAGTTCGCCACCAGGGCTCTTCATATGATACACACTCAGCAAGTAGTAGTGTAATTTGCTGTCAAGCCTGTTTCCCCCGTGTGATGAGCTCTTGAGGATACCAGTTCTCAAACATTTTTTTCTTGGAACTCTTTTACAATCTTATTGAGGACCCCAAAGAACTTTTGTTTCTGTGGGTTATATCTATTAATACTTCATGTTCTAAAATTAAAACTGAGAAATGTTTACGATATATATTAATACATTTAAAAATACTCCATACATGTTAACAGTATGTTTTTTATAGAAAAAAATATATTTTCCAAAAATAACTCGTAAGAAGAGTGGCACTGTTTTACCTTTTTTGGAAGCCTCTTTAATGTCTGTCTCAAGACAGCTGGATTCTCATATCTGCTTCTCCATTCAATCTGGTTTTTTGTTTTTGTTTTGTTTTTTGGCATTCAGGCTCTTTAATGTCGGGGGAGGGGAACAGGGGAAGTTAGTGGCAAGGCTTCTCTGGGAGATTCTGCAGGCCTTGTAGCTCTCTAAGTCCCTCTAGCAACATATGAATATGGGCCTTAATAATCACGGAGTCTCTGGTAAGGGTGTCACTGAGCTCTGTGAGGAAACGGCTCTTCAATCAATGAACTTGAGACCTTCTGCAATGTCAGCTCCAGGAAAAAACCATATCCAATGGCCATGTAGTTCATGAAGTGTCTGGAACCACTGAGTCAACGAAGAAGTTACAGCCCAAATCCACCTGCATATATAAGTCCAAGTGCTTAGCTTCCTGGAGTTGCTCAATGACGTTTCTCAGTTGAAGGTATCTGGCTAGCTGCTCATATGCCTTGTCACAATGGTCTAGCACCTTCTGCAGGTCCCACTGAAGCATGTCACCGATGAAGGCCTCATAACGCAGCACTTTCTCATCTGTGGTCCCTACCTCCCGCTGTTTAGGGGTCATCGCCCGGATGGACTCCTTAGAGCCACAGGGAATAAGAACAGTGAGTTGGTAGGAACCCTCAATCTGTTCTATGTTGTTTTAGTTTAAGTATATGAAGAAAATCCATTCTCACACAGATATGTAGTTGGAAAAGACATCAGCCATTCTGTCAAGTAAAAATGGTATTCCAAGGGAAATGTGACTATTTCAGCTTGCAACTCAATCATTTAAGTACTTTTCCTGGAGACAACTATTGTTCAACAGAAGTGCTTTATGTGAACTTCCCATTTGTCACACAGAATATTTAAAAAGATGGGTACTTCCGTCAAGATTTAATAAAATTAATTTTTACATCTTCATCAAACATTCTTAGGTGAAACTAACTTTTTTAACTGAATTGTCATAAAGAATACAATGACTACTAGTACAGTTTAGTAGCCTGGTCTTGATTCATTCTAAGGCATCCACCACTGCTTTTATACCACCAGTGCAAGTGTCAACACAGTGAAAAAGGCAAAAACAAAAATGTTTACATATTATGAAAATAGTTTTGATCTCATGGACTCCCAAGAGTCTCAGAAGAAATGGGGTTTGCCAACCACACATGGAGAACCGCTGCTCTGAGCCTGCTTCTCATCTTAACATCAAGATATAATTCCAATGTCTTAGAATTGCCGTGAGAGTAAACAAGGTATGTAAAGCACCCAGTACAAAGTCTAATATACAGGTCTTGTGGTTAGGTGCCCCAGTCGTTTTCAACTCATAGCAACCCCATGTGACAGAGTCGAACAGCCCCATAGGGCTTTCTAAACTGTAATCTACAGAAGCAGATCGCCAGGTTTTCTCCTGCAGAACCACTGGGTGGATTCCAAACGCCAACCTTCAGGTTAGCAGCTGAGCTTTTCACCGTTGCGCCACCTGGGCTCCTTTATAGGAGGAACTCCATAAATGTTAGTTTCATACTCAGTATAGTCCAGCTGTGATGATGGCTCTACGTCAATTTACCTAACATTTATTCGCCTGACACCATACCCGAAACTTTATCACATTTGTAACATTTCATATATATGTATCTTAAAGATTCTTGAGTTACCTACTTCTTTACTTTAGGAGGTTTTTTTATTTTAGCCAATTCGTCTAGCATTTCCGTCGTATTTACCTAGCATTTATCAGATGTTTACATGTGACAGGGCAGAGTCAATCCTTTTTGAGACTGTTTGCCTTTCTCAGAATGTCTTTTTCTATTTCGCATACTTACTATTCGAAAGGGTTTTTGGCCGGTTTAACGGCATATCCGCCAGATTGTTGAACTGACCGTAGAGAAGTAAATCTAAATGGTAGTTTCCAGCGACATACCGACCAACTTCAATTTCTGTAATTAACATTCCACAGCACCACAGAGGGCCAGAGGTCTAGTGTCGGGTCTAGTGCTACGAGAGGCTGCAGAACAAGGTAGGGGTGGGGTTTAACCTTTAGTAGCTTCCCAGAACCCTTAGCGAGTTTCTGATTCCCTAACTGCGCATGTTGCGGAGCAGGCGCAGTAGGCATTCCCTGACTTCCGCGCGCTTCAGATGGTATAAATAAGGCTTCCTTAGACCCAACCGACCTTTTGGAAGAAGACGAGCGCTTGGTCGTTTGGGGTTTGGTGAGTGTTCTTGCCCGTGTGTCTTCTCATCTGTATTTCTGGCATCCTAACCAGCCTTTCCTGTGAGGATAACCTTCAGCGGCGACTGTGCTAA